TTAACACTTAACAATATGATAAAAATATTGTTAATAGTAACTTAACAGATTAAAAATATTTTTATCATATTTTTATTATATAATAGTTATATTACTATCATATGATAAAAGTTTCTGCTAAGTATGATCAAATGCTTTCTTCGTATTAATATAAGAAAATTTCATGTGCGATCCTCACATGCGCACATCGAATTTTTGCACTGTACGTTACATTATACGGATCAAATGATGTGCACTTATAGAAAGAAGGGTATGTGAAGTGTACTTATGGAAAGAAAGTGCGTGTGAAGTGCACTTATAAAGGATGCACTTATGGAAGATCGGCTGTGTATCATTTTTCCAACAATGATTATATGCTACTCCGCGTTAATTCGGAATGCTAATTCGAGACCACATAAACTATTTTTGAAGGATTCAATTTTCAAAATAACGCCCACGAGCGTTATTTCGCGTTTATACTGTATCAAAAATTTCTTCGAGCAATCCGAGTTTATTAGTCTTTATCCATACTACTTGATCCGATTTTTGACTCATGACCTATCAGAAATTGTCCCGTACTGTCTATGTAAGAGCTTTAGTAAAATTTTAATCTATCAATATGATTATATAGGTACAATATACAGTACAATACACATTAAAATATTATTTTAGTAAATTTTACCTCCCGTATGACCCGGGTTAGATTAATTTTCGACCCGTGACCCGGGTAATACCTCTAGTCTTTTTATTATTATTATTATACTCAGGGATGTTGTAATTGCTACTAGGAGTGAATTCAGTTCAGTTATAGCCGGTTATTAACCATAGCCGATTCTAGCGGCCTGAAGGGCTTAACAGACCGGTTAAAATCATAACTGCCAGACATTTTTAATATCCTGGAGGGTAATATATTAACAGTCTACATTTTGGAGTATTGAATAACTAATTGATGCTTTATCGATAAAATAACAGTTGAACCTCCACAAGTACACCTTCTATAAGTGCACTTCCTTTTCTAAGTCACATAATTTGATTATTTCACCAGTTCATTATAAAAAATGTTGACTGTTCAAGATCGTACAATAGTTAATTTTTGGTTTTACATTATATACACCTAAAGCAATAATTGTTTCTATTAGATTTTAACGCCATTTATTTATAATATCGGATAGGCGTGCCAGAAAAGAAAAATGAAAATTGATAGATAGGATAATGAGTATAAAGAAAAATTAACTTCATATTATAAAAGGAAGGGCATTATAATTTTATGTATCATAGGATCCTCATCGTCGTAATTTTCGTCATCAATCAATTCTTCAACGAAGAAATGTTAACATTCGTCAGACATCATTATTCTAAATCTAAAGCACAAATCACTATACTGTAAATATAATACAATATTAACACTTTTTTAAAAAATGACTTTAAAAATTCTTGTGTAGTAATCACAATTTTTCTATCGAAAAAAAGTTTACTATTTTTAATATACGATATGCCCTTACTTAACTTAGTTACGCATTTCGTACGTGCATTGTTCTTATTTTACAACTTTTCATAATAGATACAAGAAACGTAACCGTTTATGTAAGTAAATATCTTACTATAAAAAAAATTTTTTTTTCATTCTCTTTTAAAAAACTAGAAAAGCGGCGTCGTTTTGTGGGCTGAAGCTCTAAGTCTTAGGTCTTATACTTTAGAATTAAATTAAATTTTAAATTTTATAAATTATTGGGACACTTGAAGACATCACGTGAAATCTTGCAATTGCGTCATTTGTTTACTGGCACTAAACGAATTAGCCTAAACATATGGGCGGAAATTTCCAGTTGGAGCGCTGTGAATAGGTGATAACAAAAGTGATAGTCCTATAACATATAAAAACTCATAAGTACTTCTCATCAGTGATCCTGATTTAGGTTAATTTTGGGTTATTCTAGGATCACTACTCATAAATGGGATATAAAAACTCATAAGCAACTCATAAGCAATTAATAAGCAATTTTACGATCACTGATCAAATCATCACTTTTAATCTCAGTAATCACACCATATTTTATATTTTATTGGCCTGGAATCTATTTAATCTCATCGTTCAACCTATATAATCACAAAAATTGGAAATTTCCGCCCATATGACTAACCTATCACCTACGTAGGCCGATCACTTAATCATGTGATTATCATGAAAATATCACTGGGTTCCTTGAACTTCAATCTTCCCAAATTATTATTTATAAATATAATTTCATAATTTTAGTAAATTCATAATTTCATAAAGAAAGTAATCTCTGTTCTTCCATTAATCTTTGCTGTAAACGTGTATATTGTCTATGGTTGTTAGACGAATGGTTCTGCGCTGACGAAACGTGTAACCTAGTTTCGTATTTCGTCTATTAAAATTTTTTAAATGACGAAACTGACGAAACTGTAAAGAGTGACAAAACTAACAAAGATGAATATACAAATAAATGTTGAAAATCATTGAAGATTATGTGTATAAAAAAATAAAACCAGAAATTTATAAAAATTACAAAAAATTTTATTATATAATAGGCGCTTGAATTGTTTAAAGAGAGTATTCTATATTATATTATACATGTCGATAAATCGCTTGGTGCTTACTTTGTGATCTTACAAATTTTTTTGTGCTAGTATGTTTTAATACATTATTTGTGTTATTCTATGAGTACTATGGCTTTTTGACAAGGCTATTTCAACCGGCCTATAATAACCCTAGCATTGTCCAGAAAATAAACTGGTTTATTTTTGCTGCCATACGAGTAATTTCGGATATTGATCTCTAAGAAAATAACATTTGTTTTCTTTTATGTTTATTTTTATATTTTTATATTTTTTATTATTTTTTTTTAGATGGAGCACTAGGGTTTCGTCTAACAACTATAATGTTGTCCTAATTTTTGTTATCTGCCAAAGGAGAATACACTATCAGAAAGAAGGTTATCAAGAGTGCGAGCCCTTGATACACCTACAAATGTAAGGCCAAGTGTAAAATCCCTATTTCCAAGATTTATTACAGCTAGTGGTAATGTTAAACCTTATAACTTGTGAATTGTAATTGCCTAAGCAAGGCACAAAGAAAACGAATGTGGGAGCAAGTTCTTGACTTTCCTTCTCAGGTAGGTTGAATTGGCACTACTTTGATGATTCGATATAGATATCGTTGGACCCGTGTTTTAACAAGAATAACTGTAAGTAGTGAAGGATTCCTTACAAATAGGTCAATAATTGTGTCTAAGATCTGTTTGTTCGTCTTGATTTATATTCCCTTTCGTTTTATTATTAGTTGTTAACTCAATAAGCGAAAATTTTTCGATCCATTCCTTATAGCTACTTGTTAAGGTGTGTAGGTTATTTTCGTTTTTACATTTTAAACAAAATAAAAAAAGAACATAGCAAAGTTTTTTATTTATTCAAAATACTTGCTTACGTATTTATAATTTTCTAAATGATAAATCACAGATTTTTTTATATCCTACAATACGATGACATATTTAATTCTTACTTTCTAATTGACAAATTATTCTTTTATTAAAAGTCGGCTATTATATTTAAACCAATAATCAGGTATCCAGAATTTAGGCTCAATCCTGGTTATTGAACTTAAATTTGGGTCAGAGTGAAGCGGGAACTGAAAATTCAGTAGAGTAGTTGAAGGCTTTCACCTCGCTTCCCCAGCTCCAGCCAAAAATAAAATTACCGAATAATAACTTTCAGTATGATCTTTACAGAAACCTTGGTTTTTTTAAAATATAACCAGCATATATCTAACATATAATAAAAATCTTAGTAAGCTCTGTTAACTCTCTTGTAAGAAACTTATTAATATTATAAACATATTATAAACATATTAGAAATAATTTATTCATCACCCGGGTGAATTATTAACTTACACAATCACGGAGGGGGTGAAAAATATATTTATTATAGGACTGTTATATTATTAAAATATTGGAATTTTTTTATTTTATTCTGTTATTATTATTATTATTATTAGATTAATAACAGATAATTTTGTACATAAAATTATATTATACCTAGTAATGAAGTTACAAGAGAGTTAGCAGAAAGAACAAAAATATAATTATTAAACGATTAATATATATTCAAAGTATATTTATTATATATTATTTTAGATTATATAATATTAATATTTTTAATTTATAATTAATATATTATAAACATATTTAGCAAAAAACATAGAAAACTTATAAATATATCTTTTAGCATTAGATGAGAAGAACAAGCATTACTGATCTCCTAATAATAATAATTTTATAAACTAGCCAGTCAAACTTCTCTTACGTTGGAGTGGGAGATGGAGAGTATAGTAAGAAATATTATGCAATACTGTTGGACCTCTCAAAACCGATATGTACGGTGGATAGGTTTTGTATCAATATTAAGAGGTTATCGGATTTGAAAACATTATAAACTATTAGGTTTATATAACAGAAACAGACTTGGTAGATCAGTTTTTTTATCAGATTTGATAGGTTATCGATTTTGACAGGATCAGTTTTGGGAGGTTCAACAGTATTTATCACCACCCTTATTCATAGATTAAATTTATCATATGGCTGTAGTACTGTAATATTACCATGTCCCTCCAGGTCATAGTTTTCATTTTCTAATTGTTTCTCAAAATCTATGCTTTTGTCTTCTGTCCCAAAAGAAATCATTACTATTAAAGAAAATGCAGCAATTGCAGTGAGAACTGCCTGTGTTATTCCATAATCAGGTATGCCATTTTTTGAAAGTTTTTCCCCTAGTACCGCTTCAATTTGTGCTGAACAAGAAGCAATTAAAACACCTAATTGATAAGTAAGACCAGGGAATATTCCTCGACAACTCGGAGGTGATATTTCATTTAAGTGTGCAGGAACAATTCCCCATGCCCCCTAATTATAAAAATTATTCAAAATGAAAATCTTGTGTTTTATTATTAAATTGCAGAAATCAATTTACCTGGACAAAAAAGTACAAAAAAAATGCGCCAACGCCTAGAAGAATTTTATTTCGAGGAAGAACAAACAATGGTAAAAACGCACCAGCCATTATGACAGCAAGAATAATTGTTCGTCTACGGCCTAAATATTGAGAAGCGTATCCACAGACAGTACCTCCTATTATGCTACCTACATTTTATATCAATGAGAAATAAAAAAAAAAACATAACATTAAAATCGCAAGCAGGTCAGCGGATATATTAGATACCCACCAATATTGGCAATTATTACTATCACTGTAATTTCTGCAGGCGAGAACATGAGCTGTGTTTTTAAGAATGTTGGATATAAATCCTGAGTACCTGTTATTTAAAAGATAGCATGAATCTTTTACATCTAATACTTTAATCCAGTGTTTATTTTCACGTGCAGCGACGTGTGCGGATCCAATCAAAATTTTAAATAAACATGCGCACACTTTTGCGCACGTGAAAAATAAACACTGCTTTAATCTATATAAACTAGTGAATTTTAATTACCATGACTCATGAAATTGAAACATGCCATCAATAATATAGTATGAATAATTTTTGCCCAATTATGTTTAAAAATTAATATCAATTCAGTTATCCAAAATTTACAGGTGAAAGCATTCCTATTGTGCATCTTTTCCCATACTGGCGATTCAGGAACAACAAAGCGTATTAATATAACCAAAAGTGCAGGAAAAGAGCCTATCCAAAACAAGGCGCGCCATCCGAGGTTTATAAGTACTATGTAATAAAACAACGAGGCCACTATATAGCCAGTTGCATAACCTTGTTGTAGGATTCCAGAGAATAAACTAGGTAAATAATACGTGTTGTTAGATTATATATTTTAATTCTTAAACATAAATTAGCATATAATATCCATACCCGCGAGTTTCTGGTGGTAAAATTTCCATTGTCAGTGCAGCACCTGATCCCCATTCTCCGCCCATTGCAATCCCAAAAATACCTCTTAATATGATAAAGACTGCAAAATTTGGGGCAAATCCTGAAGCTAATTCTACTACACTATATAAGATGATATCTGCCATTAACGGATACTTTCTACCATATTTTTCCGTTAATATACCAAAGATTAATGCACCCACTGGACGAAGCATGAGTGTCACTGTAATGCTTTCATCAATGAAAAATGTGAATTGATGTATATAAATAACAATCAAACACAGTTGATTAATTTATAATTACCTGCTAGAAATGTCGGAAGGCTTCATATGAAATTCTTCTGCTATATATGGCAGACTTCGTATTATAATTACAAATTTAAATTCGATAATAAGAATGACAATGACAATGACAATTTAACAATGAAGTTAAAAATATTTCGCAAAACAAAAAAATTGATATATTTACGCGAAGGACACGGTAAAAAAGTCAAATGCATCCAAAGTCCACCCGAGATATGCAGCGATAAAGGTAATTGCTTGGGTTCTATTTAGTGAAGTTACAAGTTTCCAAGGATTGGTGACTGTAGGTGGTAACCTGTTATTATTAGCATTTTCCATATCCTATTTACACAAATAAAAATGATTCACGTGACAATCGAATAATTTTAATGTTTCAGGATACATCTGTCTCATTTCTGCTTACTGTTTCCAATGCAATTTAAGTCTGCGTATTGCTTTGTTCTTTGTGAAGGCCTTTATTTTTATAAGTATCGGAGAACTTCGTTTTTATACTTGTTTTGAATGTGTTATCTCTAACTAATTCGATTTCAATTCTGGAGTTCTTAGTTGGTGTGTCGCCCAAAGCCGAGTTTCGCCAGCTGCCGAATCCCAAATTGCCGATACTTAATTCAAGATTTACCGTGATAAAGTCCCCTTATAAAAGTGACATTAACTCTGATGAAAAAATTTCATCATATGACTAATATTGTAATTGTTAGTATCGGCAAAATCCCAAATCTCGATCAAAAGTTGTCGTAAACAGCTTGGGATAAATCACTATTATCTTTATATTTCACTGGGACACGCAGGTCGAAATAAGACAATTCGTGTTAAAATTGGCGCAAATAAGATACCTATAGGATATAATCCGGATCATAAATATTTTTATAAAATGACTGAAATAACATAATTCATATTTGTACTGTACGTATGTAAACAGACATAAGCTTAATTTATTCGATTCTTATATTATAAATAGATAGACATTAAATTAAGTATAATGTGACAATTATTTGTTATAAATTGCCTTTTATGTTCTAATAGAATAATTCCTCGTGAAAATTTTAATATGGGCTGCCGTTAATAGAATCAAGCAGATTGACATTTGGAAAAAATTTTATCCCTTAAATTTCATAAGCTATATGGGATCTTTGCTAGGAAAATCACCCTTCGGAATTTTCCGATCGGGCTAATTCGAAAAAGTTTAGACCAGAATGTCGGTTCTTATTCATATATAAAGCATCTTTTACTGATTCTACAGTTTATTTAATAACTACCGAATAAATAAAGAAAAAGGTGATTTACATATGAATAAGAGCTGGCATTCTGGTCTAAACCTTTCCGAATTAGCCCGATCGGAAAGTCTCGAAGGGTGATTTTCCTAGCAAAGATCCCATATCTCTAGTGCTCCGAATCGGGTCGGCCAACCCGAAAACCGATCCGAATTTCGGGTTTGGATTAGAAAATCTGACCGGTCGGGTTCGGGTTGAACCCGACCCGACCCAAAAATTATCCAATTTAGAGATGCTCGAAACAAGCAATTTATGATTTATTTATTTTTTGTTCTAATAGCAAGTGCATATGTATTTTTAAATAATTTTCTAAATAAAACCTCAAAAGACAGTCAAGTATACACCAGATTTCTTCAAACGATCGACCACTCGATTTTGATTGGTTAACGGCCGCAGATCTATAAATTTTGGCTCACATTACATAATTTTTTACTAATTTCCGGCCGTAATTAACTTCTGATTTATTCATTACAAAAATAGAAATTTTTGAAAATAATCCCATTATGGTAAAATTGACCCAGGAACAATTTTAATTTAATAAGTTCTGTTCCGAGTAATTCCGGCCAAATTTTTTGATAATCGCTCTTAGCCAATCAAAATCGAGAATCTGCCGTGAAATTTAGCTAGGGTTATTAAGAAAGCTAGATATGTATAACGAGAAAATCACGTTTTTTAAAAAACTGTCGATACGTAACTTGAAATTTCGAACGCTCTGATATAAAAAATTCCGATTTCTAATCTAACTTTAACGTAGATTTTTACTTATACAAATCGAAATTAGTTTGATTCTTCGAAGAGAAATATCTCAAGCTAATGAAATTAAAAGTCCCTGGTAATAATATTATATACTTTTTTCGAACGAAAATATCTCAGCAATTGCTTATCTAATCCATATCATAGAATAAAAATAAAAAAAAGTTTTCATCGATTTTAGGTGGGCAGTTATCGTCGATCAAAGTTTGGAAAAACTTAACTGCTGACTTTGTTTTAATAATCGCCTAAATTCTTTTTTAACTTCGAACAATAATTTCTCGACAGCAAAATCAGTAAAGTTTTTTATATTAATTCCATGAATCTATAAGATAAAACAAAAAAAAAACTTTCATTGATTCTGAATATGATTCTTACCGTAGTAGCCCGCTGAGTTTATAGACGTTTAATAGCAAAAATGGCGGTTGAATTCATTTTTTTTAAAAAAATTTAATATATTAGCCCTAAAATTTCGGATCGGGTTAGGTTCGGGTTGAAGCTCTAACCCGAAAATTATCAACCGACCCGACCCGAAGTTTCTGGTCGGGTTCGGGTTGTAACCCGACCCGTTCGGAGCACTACCCATATCTCGACAAATTTTGAGGCTATCTTGACGAACTAATATTCAATAGAAAGCTTGGTATCTAGACTTTTTTTTTTTGAATATTAATTCGTCAAAGATAGCCTCAAAAATTCATCGAGTTATAAATTGTGAAAGTCAAGGATTAATTTTTTTAAGCTAGTGTTGCCTAACGAAACCATGTGATGCTAATTGTCATATGGTACAATACGTACGTACATACATAAAACCCAACAATTTATTTTGATATTTTATAAGTAATAGCGCGTGATCTTGTGGTTTCGTCAGGCATCACTAACGGCAGTAGTGATAGGAATTGACTAAGTCGACTAAAATCAACTATTCGACTACATTTTATTAGTCGACTAAAAACCAACTAAAAATAGAATAATAATCTTCTGAAATCTTCAGAGATTGATTATAAATTACAAGCATAGTTGAGAACAAATTTATTAGAAATATTTCGAAATTATATTTAAAATAACATATCGATATAGATAATACACAGGTTGCATCAAGATTATCGGGTGCATACTGGGAGACAAGTTTCCTGTTATGTACCCGATAGTCTGCTGAATATCAACAGCATATGTGAAGCATATTGGTAAGATATCGGGAGGTAGACGATATCGGTAACATAGCAGCACAATATTAGGAGACCTGACATCTTACTCTTAGCACTCTCATATATTATGCAACCAACCGTTAAACTCTAATCCTAAAGAGATAATTTACAGTAATGCTAACCATATATAGCCGTCAGATAGTGTCATTTCACCGGCAGCTTAGCTCACCGACAATTAATTCACCGACAAATTCATTTACCGACAATTAAATTACCGACAGTTATTTCGCCGACAGCTCATAAATATTTTTTATAAATTACACTAACCTTAACTCTAATTTTAACCTAACACTAACAACAATGACCAGAATTACTTTGTCAGTGAAATGAGCTGTCAGTGAAATAGTTGTCGGTGAAATAAACTCGTATAATTAATATTATCATAAGTTCAAATTATGACATATTCTTGTATCAACCATAAAAACAAAGTATATTGGTCACGGTCAAAATTATTATACATGCTCTATCTTCTAAACCATATACTGTAATTCAGAAATTCGTGCTTTATCATCTGTAACAGGTAAATTATTACAATACTGTATGTAACTATTGCGACATTCTTGATCGTCAGCAGGATTGTCAAGTTTGTAACGAGTAGATTAGTAGCGCAACCAAAATTCAGGAGATCGTCCAGAATTTAGGGCCGAAATTGATAAAAGTATAGTGCTAGTATTGTTAGGCACCAGTGTTATAAATTCAAAAAAATTTTATTGGCGAAAGCGCGTATTATATATGGATAATATGCGTGCAAACTTTAAAATCATGTTAAAAATATACGTAAAAATTTTTTATATATGTAAAGTAAATCTATAATACGCGCAGAGCGCCAATGATTTTCAACAAAATATGCGCAAATTTAAGTTTATGTGTGCTGCGCCTACTGCGCGTATCCAATTTACAACACTGGTTAAGCAGTATTATTGCTTAATGCCAGCCAAGCTATGACCCTAAATTCGGGCCGCTCTGCTGAATTTTGGTTGCGCTACTAATCTATCCTATAATTATTGCGACTTTTTCATTCTTCATCAATCCGCGTGATTGTTAAATCTATAATTATTACATTCGCTTTCCTGATTAATAATTGATATGTGAAATTGATGCATTATAAATTAAGGATGTAACCAAAATCGTTATCTAATACTACTGTACTAATGGATTAGTTAGAGTTACATTCAAATTATTAATTTAATGTTGTCTTATTTATCTATTTATAATATCCATCATTCTATACCATCTATCCATACTATTAAAGCTGAATTGGTCTTGAGAAGATCGGTATTTTGACCAGTTATATGGTCTTCAGTTTATAATCAGTTTCAGACCGGCTAATAATAATTAATTAATATGAACTTTAAACAGTTGAAAGCCATTATCGCATGAAGTTTATTTCAATAATGCTAACTCAAAGCAATAAACTACTTACTGTATATAAAAATAGGGTTTGAGACAAGAGACCAATCGGACTGATAGGAAATTAGGTTCGGTCTTATTATTATTAGGACCGAAACCGGCTAGACCGGAGCCGATCCAATCCCATACCTAATTCAGGAGTTCGTTGGTCATCTGTGAATTATTTATGAATGCCAGTATTTGAACTTATTAAAAATTTGTAGTTTTAATATCGATATTATTATAACGTTCCCATAAAAATGTCGCAATTCAAACAAAATTATGTGTAATTCTCGAAAAGTATAGGCATGAATGGTCATGTGATTGAAAGAATGCCGGAGCCAAAGGTGCCGAAATAATTCAATTAAAGGACTTTTAGTCCACAGAATACATTGTGATTTGAGCTGAGTAATTTGAACTGAAACAATAATATGCACCCGGGAAAATTAGTAAGTGAGATTGCGCCGGATATTATCGTAACAATAGAGTGAGTGAGAAGCAGCGTCAGCTGGTGGTCTCCTGCCTGCTCGAAGCAGGCCGGCTGTTAAATAGGAAAATGGCTACTACTGTGTGTGGTGGGAAGGGTTGGGTCGAGAAAAAAGAGATGGTTGTAGTTTTTGGTTGTGTTGAAAGAGGCAAGTCATAGAAAGACATTCGTCTGATTGATTAATTTTTGTCGATCTATCCGTGATAATTAACCAAC